AAAAGGCATGTCTACTATTTGCAAAAAAAAAAAAAAAAGATGGTGCTCACTTACAGAAACCCATCATGGAACAAGCCAGAAAAAAAAGTTTATGTTGTTAAATAGTTCTTTTAGAGTTAGGATATTTGTTGTAAGAATCAGTGTACTTTTTCACTGAGTTATTTTTGCCAAAAGCAATCATTAAACTGAAAAATTACTAGAATTACTGATGCTGGTGAATTACTGGGTCTGGGGGTAAATATAAAATCTGTTATATACTACACAACACTATTTTCCAAGCTATTTCTCACAAGTCAGTACATCCTTAGGACATGAATGAGCACCATTTTATCAGATTATTTCTTAGAAAAAGTTGGCATTAAACATTCTTATAGAGGCTTCTTTGTCATACAGCTTTTTTGGGTTTGCCACGTATTAGAATGCTGTGTAAGTCTCAGAAAGGGGTGTTTGTAGCATGATTCCCCTATTATTTTATTTGGTCATGAAACACTATTTATTGTAACTTCTTACATTATTGTGCTACAGAGGAAAATTTGTGCACATGTTTTGAATAAGAATATCAAAGTAGAAATAAATCAAGTAAATGGTGAGGATAAAACTATTACTGTTGTGTTTATGAAGAAACTGAAATTTTTGCAATGAAACAGCCCTAGATAAACAGGGTTGTTGGATTTTATATTAAGACTCTCCTTGGTAGAATTCTGAACCTCCAGGGAGTGAGTACCAAGAGATGAAAACTTATCAACCAACGGGTAGGTAAATCCCCACATTCTGAGTGTCTTCATTGACTGCTTTTAAGATCAAAGCAATGAAAATATGTTCAGAGAGTCATAGGACTTCAATCAAAGTCACACAAAAAAAAATCTAAGAAAGTCAGGCGGTAGTGGCATACACCTTTAATCCCAGCACTCGGGAGGCAGAACCAGGTGGATCTCTACGAGTTTGAGGCCAGCCTGATCTACATACAGAGTGAGATCCAGGACAGGCACCAAAACTATACAGAGAAACCTTATCTTGAAAAACCAAATGAACAAACAAACAAAAAAATACTACAGATATACTCTCTTACAGTCAGGCATTAAAAAAATATAATTTAGTTCGAGGTCAGCCTGGTCTACAAAGTGAGTTCCAGGAAAGGCACAAAACTAGACAGAGAAACCCTGTCTCGAAAAACCAAAAAAAAAAAAAAAAAAAAAAAAAAAAAAAAAAAAAAAAAAAAAAAATACAATTTATTTTCACAAAATTAGGAAATGTGTTGATCAGAACCTTTGGCCCATATGACAAATTGATTGAGACCTTCAATGTAAAGACATATTCACTTTTTCATTTTCAGAAATTTTTGAAATGAGAGAACACTGCATTCTTAGACACTGACAAGCTCCCAGGTAACAAATGGAACTGTCAATCTTCAGCTTGTATCTGAAAATACAAAAGTAACTTACTGAACCAAATTCTGCATGATTTGGTTTGTTTATTTGTTTCTAACATTTGAGGAAAATTTGAGGAATGTGAATGATAAGCATGACACACTACTAACAAAG